ACTCTGACGATTCTACTAATTCCGACTTTTCTGACGATTCTAATAATTCTACTTATTCTGACTTTTCTGACGATTCTACTAGTTCTGACTTTTCTTACAACTCTGACGATTCTATTAATTCTGACGACTCTGACGATTCTATTAGTTCTGACTTTTCTGACGACTCTGGCGATTCTACTAAATCCGACTTTTCTGACGATTCTACTAATTCTGACTTTTCTGACGATTATAATAATTCTGACTTTTCTGACGATTCTATCAATTCTGACGACTCTGACGGTTCTACTAATTCTGAGTTTTTTGATGACTGACGATTCTACTAATTGTGACTTTTGTGACAATTCTATTAATTCTGACTTTTCTAATAATTCTGACGACTCTGGAACTACACACGGTTCTTTCATTACCCTTTCTACCTTATTGCTTAACTATTCCGTTTGCCTACTTAAAGCATCAACATGCGGCATACTTTCACCAGGACGGTACTCAACTTTATAATTGTAGTTTTCTTATTCCAACGACCAACGAGCAATACGGGGATTGATAGACTTTTTGCTTAATGTTTGTGCTAAAGAATGACAATCCGTCACAATTTTAAAGGGCATGTGTTCTAAATATACTCTAAAACGACAAAGAGCATAAATAATCGCAAGTGTCTCGAGCTCCAAACTGTGGTACCTTGATTCGGCTGCCGAAGCCTTTAATGAATAATAAAAGACTGGATGCATTTTGCCAATGTTCTGTCTCTGCAATAAAACTGCTCCAAAACCTCGAGAACTGGCGCCAGTATGTAATTCCGTTTCACGATTAAGGTTAAATATTGAAAGTATTGGCGGAGTTGATAAACGATTTCTTAAGTCCTTAAAAACTTTCATTTGTTTTTCATCCATCGGAACGGTTCTCCTTTCTTTAATAGTTCAACTAATGGTCGGGCTATACTTGCATGAGACGGAACAAATCTACGAAAATATGAGAACATACCAATTACGTCAGCAACAGCTTGTTGATCCTCCACACTCGCCACTGTCTGCTGCAGTCTTCTAGTCACACGGATCGGGCAGCTACGGAATTGATGATCCACGTCTCCACAAGTAAAGCAGCTATTCGGTGGACGTATGGGCTTGTTGCAATCCTTTATCATATGTCTCGGCTGACGATAATTGTAGCATTTTATATCATGAACGCTCGAAGTACCACAAACAGCGTAAGAATTTGGCAGTGATAAATGGATTTGATCATACTCTATCAAACGGCGACGCAATTAATCAAGACTCTCGCAAAAATAAAGTGACGCAGTAATACCACTCGTGTCGTTTAATCCGCGAACAATGTGCTTAATTAAATCACGATCTTCCAACTCAGCTTGGCGTGCAATACTGCACATGGATATAAAGTATTGAAATGCAGTTTCATCACTTTTTTTCTTACGGCGTCTGAGCTGCTCAAATATCTCCAGTTTTGTGTTTTTACGTCCAAAAACATCCTTCATCTGAGTTCGCAAATCATTCCAATCAGCAGCACCTTGATAAGCGAAGTAACTTTTTGCTGGTCCAATAAGAAGACGCCTCGCATACAACCAATAGCGATTGAGTGCTACTCCCAACACTGCACATGCAGTTTCAAACTCTTCAATTTATAATTTGACAGGAATGCCATCCTCTCCCGAAAAGGGATCCACTACCGCCATTATATGTGCGATATCAACCCGGGAAAAATTTGCGGCCATTTTTGTACCCATTTGGTTCCGTTCCATGTCGCGAAGCGTTGTTTGAAGTCCCGCTACTCCTTGACAAACATCAGCCAGATCCTCTCGAAACGTGCGCTCATCCAGTCCAATCTGAGACACGTGCTGCACAAGAGGTTCTGCATGGGATATCTTGTCTTGTATGTCGGTGTCGCCTCCCGCAGCTTGATCTTGAGACACGATTTTGCTTGTCTGGTGCCGCGAAATAGCTGTCATAACTCTTCCTTTGATTGCTTCAATATATCCGAATACAACATGGGTACTATATGTGAAAGCTATGGGCAATCACCCCACACCTGAATTGTAAGTGATGCTTTTTAATTTAATGATTTTATATCTATTTCTTTTTTGTATGTTCCACGTGTTCTCTCTTCTTCTTCAATTACAAGTGGCCACTTGTATACAGTCTACAAGACTTCTTCTCAACAATCGAGTTCACCATGTAATCGATATCTGTTATCTTATCGATTCTTAATATAAAGTTACATTATAGAAAGTACACACTAAAATACAATGCAAAATATAACATTATCTTCACACTTAATACAATTTAGTATATATTCACATATGTTTACATTCTGTTCTTCAGTCTCGGTTTGTTTTGGCCGATAAAAGGTTTTCGTAACGGCACGAACAGAATTCGGCTTAATGCGATTTGAAAAGGATGTAAAATGCTAAAACTCATTCATTTTGTTTATTTATAGTTAATTGTTGGCGAAAGAGCAATCGCAAACAGTTTTATATACGTGGGTCAACATTTAAGCTTTTTTTTTGCTAAGAAAGAAGAGTCTTACCAAAGTATAATCTTTTAAGTCCCTCGTTTTCGAAACTAGAAAAACGTATGGACAATACGTATATTAAACTCATAACTCGAATGTGAAGATAGACACGGTACAATGACGTGCGGGCAAATAATAAAAACAGCCCGTAATTAATATTATTAATAAACTACACATCAACATTAATTAAATATAAAATTAACAGCGAAAACCAAACTTATGCAATTAATCTTTTTTGTTTTAAATCATAAATCAGTTCCCAATTCAGACAAAGAAATATGAATAGCTAGGAAAACTGACATCAGAACAACATTCATTAAAAGATGCTCACTTATGTTACAAATAGTTGGTCATTGGTTTTTGTTTGGTATGTTTTGGTATATTCAGTATCTTTTTGCCTCATGAATATTGGCACGGCTTTGAAAATGATTATTTTCTTACTTCATTTGAAAGCAGTCCAACCCGAAACAGTTCATCTGGAAATGAAAAACACAGAAGCTTTAGAAAAAACCACTTTTATATACTTTGTGCTTTAATAAATATAAGTGTCGTGATTTTTCATGCCAAATTTGAGCTAATCAAACACGCAGCGGTATAGTGCCCATATATAGAATGGGGTAATGGAGTTAACCCAGTGTAAACACTTTTTGAATAGTACCAAGTATTGTAATCGCCGGAAAAAATATCTTTGCTGCTTGTATATCTCTATCCCCCCATCAGATGAGCAACGGCTACCCTTCTTGCTTGTTTCGTTTGGAATTGAAAAATAAAATGAAAAGTTCAGGAGGAAAATAAACGGAAACCGAAGGGGGTGGATGAGCTAGTTCAGTATTCCTAAAAATAAATCGGGTTACAACGAAAACCTAAATACAACTTCATCGCTAGCATTTAAACTTCTTATATTTAGCTTTTTGCAAGAATGAGAGCTTAATTGAATGAAAAGGAATAGGAATTACTATGGTCCAATCAGTGACGCCACAAGAATTTGCACAATTTGGAACCGCTTACGTTACGAATTTACTACATCGTCTTCACATACGATTCTTTTACTGTAAAAGCCTAGTACTGACATCGACGAAAACCGCGAGCTAACCATAGGAGTAAACGAGAGGCAAACAGGCGGCTAACACTTTTCGTCGGGTCTGTTTTTCAACTCGGTACTCAGATGAGCTTAGGAAATACCAGAAACAATACCTGATTTAGCGTGTGAGTTTCGATGAACGATGTTAGCCGCGGCCCAATGAATAAGAAATTTAATCTTTAGCGGTGTCCAGAAATTGACAGGATGGTGGGCGACTACCTGCAGCCTCAGTGGAACAACCCTGTTAGCAATCCGTCTCGCACTCACTCAAGGCACATGTTGGCATACGCTGAAAAAACGGTGCAGCATCCGTGACAAGAGACGGTAGCCTAAAACTTCTAATTAAAATAAATAAAAACATATTTTGAACATTCCATTTATTTTTATTTCTTTATGGATCCAGATTCGACTTTTTAAAATCCTTTAATATTTCGTTTGTCAATAGAAACAAACCAAGCTGCCGGACAGTAAGACCATGCTACCCTCATTGCGGGTAAGCTTCGAAATTTTCGGTCACACTACAAAGAATAAGATTTTTCGAGCAGTGAAACTCTTTGCCGATCTGAGTACTAGGCTTTAAGAAATACACAAGTAGGAAAGAGGCTGTAAAAAATCGATAGGTCGTTTAGGTGATTTTTGTACTTGACGCTTGAACCGAAGTTTTCAAATTTCACCTGCGATGGTCTTACTGTCAAGCAGCTGGCCTTGTTTCCAAACGGAAAACAACTCAATTGGAGCAATTAAAAAAGAGGAGTCTGCTGGTGCACAAGGAAATAAAAATAAAAATAAAGGAATTGTTCAACGAATGTTTTTATTTATGTAAATTAAAAGTTTAAGGCTTCCTTCTCGTCCCACGGATGCTTCGCTATCTTTCCCGCGCCATCTGTAGTCCAGCTCCGAGTCTGAAAAGGCTGGCCAATAATGGCTGGTGATGGGTCCTCCAGCTGTCCCATATTTTCTCCTCCCTACAGTAGCCGACGCGTCCTCCATCTCCGCTTTAGCTGCCAAGTAGCTGGTGGAGGTGGAGTCCTCATTGGAGAGCTCGTCGGAGATCGAGCGATATCCCATGTTTCCTCCCACTGAGATTCGCGGATTTTGCGGATTTGTCCCGTTGTGGTTTTGCTTCCTGTCGGTCAAGTCCCACATTAATGGGCAACAGCTGGGATAATGCGTCCTTTTTCATCTGCACTGACCTCCTTTAGCGGTTTTTTGTGTTTTTCTTGAATTTTTAATTTTTAAATTCCCCACCGCTTCTGCACGAACACTGCCAAAGATTAAATTTCTTATTCTTTGGGCCGCGCCAAACGGCGTTCATCGAAAATTCACTCGCGAAATCTGGTATTTTTTCTGGTGTTTCCTTAGCTCATCTGAGTACCGCGCTGAAAAACAGACCCGACGATAAGCTTTAACCACCTGTTTGCATCTAGCTCACTCCTATAGTAAGCTCGCAGTTTTCGTCGATGTGAGTACTAGGCTATAATTACAAACAAGCTTTTGCAGCTTTTCAATTTTTTAATTTTTTAGATATGTAATGAAATACCTTAAAATTATAAAAATATTAATGCTTCCATAACAATCCTTTTTGGTTCATGCTGTTCCATTTCCTCGTTATCTTTACTTATTTTATGCATTGCAGCCGGCTATCTTTCATGTTTGTTGTATTTTCAGACGATTTTAATTCTTTTGCGCACTTAACACCGTTATTGTTAAGTTTTTAGAAGTACCTCCAGCAAAAGTTAGTTTTTGTCGTTATTCTGGAATTTGTCATATATGTATATCCATTTGAAACTTATATATATACATACTTTAGGATTCCTATTTTTTGCACATATTTGAAACCAACGGCGACTCAAGAACTCAATATTGTGAAATTAGAGACCTATGTTTCGTCAAACATCGATGTTAACATCGATATCAGGAAAAACATCGAAAAACCTCGAGGAATCGATGCTTTCAGCATCACTACTATACATCACTACTATACAAATTGTATCGAGCTCTCTTAACTGTTCGATTCTTTATAGTTATATTTAAATGATCTTGCAACAAGATTTATGTGTATAAGTTTATTTACAGATTACTTGAATCTGAAGGCTTTAATGTTTTGTATTTGTAAACGATAATCGTTGGTGCCAATCATTATAAAACAACTCATATTTTCGAAAATAATACGTATTATACGCAGGTGCAGTTTTTCCTTTCAACAGTATTATATACATAACAATTTGGTGCCACTTAAACGTATGTATGTGACCTCTCAAACATTTGAGTAAATGGGATTACTTGAATTCAGTTGATACATGTGTACATATATGCATACATACGTATGTATTTACATGGTCGGTATCAACCCGGGCACCACTTCGCACATTGGCCTTTTTACACATATGTACATACATATCTTAACACGAATCTATTTCATTCCTGCATTATTCATCATCGTACGTTGTTCTAAATTGTAGTTGCCACAAAATTTATTCCATTCAAAACTTGGTCCAGGCTTATATAAAACCTCCCATATACACTTGCCAGAAAAAGTACGCGTACAAACATGTTCCGCAACTTTCAAGTTAAGAAGTAAGTAAAGTAAATTTTTGATTTTTTTGGTTACAATTAGTGCATTTGTTAAGTTTTATTTTGATGTAACGCATTAACTTCTAGAACTTAAACATAAAAAAATGTACAAAGTGGCATAATATTCCATCAAAAATAGTATGCGTACAAATGTATATATCATAAAAAAAACGACTTATTACTGGAAAAATATGTATAATTTAGTACATAAACGGATACCCTTTACGTTTTATAAATTCAGTCAACCCATTTTGCATCGATTCGACTTATTTCACGTTTATTTGATTCCATTCCTCCACTATGACTTTTCAGCATATCCTTCGATGTAATGGTGCGAAGGCGGATCCCGCGCTCCAGGACTTCCCACAAATTTTGCTGGATCCTGTTGGATCGAAAAATGGTTTCCGAGATTTCTATCTCCAAGAAGACTATAACAGCCGTGCTGCAAGAGAGAAACCACGCATTTCGCAAGTCAACGAAATCAAGCGGATGAAATTTGCTAAAAAAAAATCCTAAAATTAGCAAAAGGAGCTCTGGAAAACGTGATATTTAGTTAGGATAAACGGCACGTGTGCCCAAAATTGTATAGACCGCGAAATAAAAAACCTTGCCCCAACTTTTAAAAACGGTGGTGGTGGCTAAATGGTTTGGGGATGTATGACGGCCAGTGGATTAAAAATCTTGTTCTCTTAAATCCGCAATGTATCACAATAAGTATAATGACGTCCTAATTGAAAATGTGGATCAAGGCGCTAGAAAACTGAAACTTGATAGTAATTTTTGGATCCAACAAGACAACGATCCTAAGCATTGTGCCCACAAAACAAAGCTTGGGTTGTTTATTTCATGTAAAACCAGCTAAATTTGCCAGCGGAATTTCAGATTTCAATGCTATCAAGCATTTTTGGGATGTCCTGATGCGCAGCCTACACACCATTTCATTGAAGGATATGCGTTGTTGTTGGGCATGGAACTAAATAACGGTGAAGGATGGAGGGAAATTAGCCCAATCGATGCAAAATGGGTTGACTGCATTTATAAAAACGTAAAGGGTATTCGAATATGTACAAGATTCGACGTACTTTCCCCAAAACACGCCATTTTCTTATTATATATGCAATGGTACGCATATCTTTCTGATGAAAAATTAGAACATTATGTACATTTTTTAAAAATTATGTTTCGTTAAATTAAAGAATAATAAATGAAGGGAGTGTAGGGTATAGTGGCGAATGATTAGTTTCTTAAATGTAACGTATCCAAAAATTAATCTTTTTCAAAAGTTTAAAAGCAGAAAGTTACTGACATCTATTGAGCATATTCCATTGGATTCCATCGGAGTTAAATACTACAGCTCTTGGCGTAAACCAATAGTTTTTCCACTTGTTAAAATTGCAGGGTAAGGTGACAAACTGATAAACACACACTGAAACTCTATGCAGATGTGAACATTTTCTACTTTTCCTTCGAAAAATTTTGAAAATGTTCAATAATGGAATAAAAATTGAATTAAACTGTACACCTAAAAAATGTGAACTTCAGATCTGGTTTTAAATTGAACAGATCATATAAATAGCACAAAAAGTACGCTGTATCTATTCGTGAGTATTGCACAGTCAAAATGTTATTTAATGGACAAATTTGTTTCCAATTGTGTTCGAATAACATTTGTTGTAGTAAAACACCATTTTATAGCAGTTGGTGCCATGGCTCTAAAGAAAGTCCAGTTTCTATGCTCATATTTATAAAATTACCTGTGCATCGTCACCTTATTCTAAACTCCCATACTAACTGTAAAAAAAAAAAAAAAATGTTAAGATTTTTAACACTATTATGATTTTAACGTTGCGGAACATGTTTGTACGAATACTTTATATGGAAAGCGTATGTATGTCAAACACTTGCAGTGGTTCACAGCTTTAAAGATGTGGATTTCAAATGAGCGATCAAGATTATATTGTCTAGAATACCACTTGCATAAGTATGACTTACTTTCAAAACCGTAGGGACTGCATTGAACGGTAAAAACGGCAAGTACTGCGTTTACTTGTCTTGAAGAAAATGCATAGGAAATCAAAAACAAATGTTCTTTTAGTTATATTTTCAACATTTTTATATCCCTGCAGAGGGTATATTGATTTCCCCCCATAAGGGTATATATATTCTTGATCAGCTTGACTAGACGAGTCGATCTAGCCATGTCCGTCTGTCCGTCCGCTTTTACGCAAACTAGTCTCTCAGTTTTAAAGCTATCGGGCTGAAACTTTCCCAAAAGTCTTATATCTTTTGCAGGTAGTATATAAGACGGATCCAGCCGGATCGGTAAACTATATCTTAGCTCCCATAGGAATATTTGGAAAAAAAAATTTAAAAAAATTATATCTTTGGTGTTTTTTAACGTATAACCTCGGAAATAAAATTTTTAAATTAACTTCGAATTCAATTTTATCAAAATCGAAAGACTATATCATGTAGCTACCATAGGAACGATCGGAAAATTGGTGGGAAAATAATATGAAACAAATTATAGTTTCGGTGTTTTTATCTTTTTTTGTTTGTTTAGATGTAATAAATATAACTGCAAGGGTATACAAGCTTCGGCTTGCCGAAGTTAACTTCCTTTCTTGTTTTTGATTTAAGCACTTAATTATTGATTTATCTCTTAAAACAAATTTAGAAAAACTTGTGTTTTTATCAGTTTTTTTCTTCAAAAGCTAACCGATTTGGTTTATTTTTTAATAAATCCGCTTTGTCTCTAATCCTAAATGGTAGAATGCTAAGCTGGTATCACACAATCGTATCTTAAATTAAACCAAAAATCTTTATATTTCAATACAAAACAAGGAAAAAAGCTATAATCGAGTACCTCAACTAGCAGATACCCGTTACTCAGCTAAAGGGACAAAAGGGAAATGGAGATATGCAAGCAACAAAGCGAGATTGAAATGCGCCACCTACCCGCGATTTCAATATATGGTTATGAGGCGCTATACAGATTTAAGCGTTATGGGCGTTAGGGTTTTTTGGGTCAATTGATAGGTATTGACGAGACTGATACATTTCAGTTAAAGTTTTTTCTAGCATGAAAATTTTGGGCGCCACAGGCTTAGACGGTTTGTGGGTGTTAGACCGTGGCAAACTTTTTTTGGATCAATCGATAGGTATTGACGGGACTAGTATATTTCATTTAAAATTTTTTATCTAGCATAAAAATTGTGGGTGCCACAGGTTTGGGCGGCTTGTAGGCGTTAGAGAGGGCGTGGCATATTCGCGTAACAAACATACGCTGCGTACAAGGCTACCCCAGTCGGACCTTCAGGCATGTGGTGCTTGATTCCACAATAATTTTCATAAAAATATTCAGGGGTTTGCACAATGTGAACTTTTTCAGGCTTTTCAGGGGAATTTTTTCGACAGTTAAAATTTTTTATCTAGCATGAAAATTGTGGGCGTCACAAGTTTGAGCGGTTTGTGGGCGTGGCATTTTTTGGGTCAATCGATAGGTATTGATGAGAACAATACATTTCAGTTAACATTTTTATTCTAGCATTAAAACTGTAGGAGCCACAGTTTTGGGCGGGAATCTGCACGCCAAATCTTAATAGCCTAGCTCTAATAGAGATCTCAGCGTTCATCCGGACGGACAGACAGACATGGCTAGATCGACTTGGCTAGTGATCCTGATCAAGAATATATATACTTTATGGGGTCGGAAACGCTTCCTTCTGCCTGTTACATACTTTCCGACGAATCTAGTATACCCTTTTACTCTACGAGTAACGGGTATAAAAATGGGTAACGTACAAAGACCTTTAAAAGCATATAAATATATATTTTTTAATGCAAAAAGTAAGTAAAAAAAAACGTTTGTAAAAATTTCGATATCTAAAATTTATATCGAATCGAAATTTAAAATAAAAAGGTGGTTTATTGTGTACTGTGTTAAAATAATGGTAAGTATATTGAAAAATGGGTAGAGATTTAGTTGTAGGTTTAAAAAAAGTAATTTAAAACAAATTTAAGTTTATAAAAATCAAAAAGGAAACTCTAAATTGCAACTCAGTAATGCAACAATGATATCGAATGCATTTGTCATTCGTCTCCACCCCTTGAATTTGGCGAGTTGAGTAGAAGTGTACGGTGACGGAAATAAAAAAAACTAAGTTTTTAACTGTTTTTAATGCGATTTATAACAAAACTATTGTTTACTATAGTTTTTCTAACATAGTGGCAGTAAAACTAGATTTAAACGTATAATTGTGTTACCGGTGGAGCCTTCCACAGTAGAGCGTGTGGCCGTTGTTTTTGTTTATGTATGTATGTACTTATAT